TTAACGGCGGGGCGCATCCTCATCGCCGCGGCGTTCCTCAACGTTGCACCTGATACTTTCCCCCCGGACGGCGGCGGAGGCCGGCTTGATGAATTTCTTTTTTAATCATGGCCATCGGCACCGCCGAAAAACTTACCGCGTCACCTGTGATAGCTCGTTCGACGATGTTCGACGCGGTCCTCGATTCGCCACGCGGAATACGCCCCGAAACTTTTGCGAACGCGTGCGAGCAGCAGCGGACACATGCCGCGAATATATTAACCGTACTGGAGGACCCTGGTGAGGCAACGGAAAAAAAAAAGAAAAAAAAATAAGAGAGAGAGAGAGAAATTGAAAGAAAAAGGGAAGAAGAAAAAGCGGAGCTCGTTGCAAAATTCGTCGGACCGTGGCCCTTTTTCGTGGCGAGCTCGTTGAGTTTTAACGAGCGGCCGAGCCGTGAACGCCGATATCCCTCGTTAACCGCGGAAACAGTACAGAAGCAGCACACGGTTTGATGGCATAACTCCGACGCCGGCCGATGTTTCGCAATTTCGTAATTGTACTGGCGGGTACGTGCGAACAGCAGCAGTAAAATTCGTGCTTTGAAACGGAACGACACGCCTCCTTGTTAGGCTTTCGATTAATTAAATAACGATGGGAACATATATGCAGACATATATCGATTTAATATGTGTGAAGGATAACCTCGTTTGGCGAGTTGTACGTTTCTAAAGCGTATGAATATTATCCTGAAACTTTGACATCACAAATTTTATTATTATTGTAGTAGTTTTCAGTAGTAGTTTTCTTTACTTTAAAAAGTTCTCGAGGAAACAGCTTTCCAAGGTCTAACGAAAGTCCGGGCCAACTAATTTTTCTAAATTCGCGACGTCTTCGAAGTACGAAATGACTCCAAACGTCGGATCGACAATCATTTGTGACGTTCTCTTTTGATTTTGAAGAGATACACCTCGCGCAAATCGCGAAACTTTGAAATCACAAATTTTATTATTATTGTTATTCAGTAGTAGTTTTCTTTACTTTAAAAAGTTCTCGAGGAAACAGCTTTCCAAGGTCTAACGAAAGTCCGGGCCAACTAATTTTTCTAAATTCGCGACGTCTTCGAAGTACGAAATGACTCCAAACGTCGGATCGACAATCATTTGTGACGTTCTCTTTTGACTTTGAAGAGATATATACACCTCGCGCAAATCGCGAAACAAAGGGAGAGCAAATAAACAAACACGAAGCAAAGAAATGGGGGAGGATTCTCGTCGATTAGATATCTAGAAAGCGAAGAATCGGAGAAATTAATGTCCGGTCCTCGCGGCGAAAAATTGACACCGTAAGCTCGAGCCTCCGCACTTTAATGCCACGACATTAAGACGCGTTGAATAGGGACGACGACGATCGGGTGGACGAGCACTTAAGTGGAACAAAACGGCAGAGGCTGGCACATAATAAGTCGCGCCGCTCGTGCGGGTGTCTCGTGAAAGGGCCAAGACAAAAGGGGAAGCGGTCTTGAGGCATAATTAAAACGCGTCGAGTGTCCCGTTGATGCGAGACACGTTGAGAAGAAAGAAAAAAAAAAACGAGAAAGAAAAAGAGAAAAAGGGAGAAGAAACGGGAGGAAGAACGACGGAGAAAAAAAAAGAAAAGACAGAGAGAGAGAGAGAGAGAGAGTAGGAGTAGGAAGGTACGGGTTCGATTACCATGTCCAACGCGTTTCAAACAGGTCCACTGAGAGAGTGGCCTCTACTCGAATCTCGAGTCTCGCTACCGCCCTTTGCCTTCCTCCATGCCCACGGAATCGAATAAATCGCTTTCATACCTTCGTCAGTGAAATTGACGTCTCGTTATATATTTCTGTATGTAGAAAGTGTGAAGGGAATGTCAGATTTACAGGGGATGATGGTGAATAAAGAGCTGGCGAGATGTGTGATTTAACCCCTTGATGATGGACGCTGCGAGGCAGGAAGTTTATTCAGATCCGAATCTCATGGTGGATGGTTTAACAGTGGCAAATAAATAGGAAGCTGCACTTCTATGAATATAACACGGTTCTTTTTTTTTTTTTTTTGATCACGATATAATCTAGATGAGAATTTCACTTTTTTTAAAATGTGTTTTGCTGAAAAGTACAAACTTAACCTCTTGCGCTGGAATGACGTCGAGAACTTTTTGTTCCAAATTGCAACATTTTCTCTCAGTTTTAACTATATTCAAGTTCCAGGCAAAACAAATAATAAATTTATTACTTTTCAATAATTTCTATCCAATGATACCATACGAGTTTAAAAAAAGAAAGCGACGAATTGTATACGGTTCGGTCACTCGTTATGGTCCGCAATCAGTTGCCAGCGCAAGTGGTTACACTATTGCACAGAGAATATTACTTTCAGAGTCCAACAAACCGACTTTCGTACGTTCAAACTAGTTTCGATTGTTCGATTTCGGCTGTTCACTTGTTTCAGCGTGAATAAATATAAAAGAATATCTAAATATTTCTAATCTTCTAATTCGAAGATTGATACCTCGGAGAGTAAACCAAGTTTACACTTGTTCCACTTGCGACGTACGTTATCAGAAGTTGGAAATGAATTTATAAAGACGCGAAGGGCAGACGTTCATAAACTTAAAAGGTGGAATCAGCTGAAGAGCTGCCGCGGCTCGTACGCGGCCGTTTCTCTTTTTGGAGCGTGAGGAAGCACCCGGGCGATCCGATGATTCTCGCTCGGGCAGCGAACCTGTTCGAAATCACTCGAGGTGTTACCGTGGTAACAGCGCGGGCTCGAAACTCGATTAGCAAAGAAAATACGGGAGTATCTCAGGAGCTCCGACGTTGAATCGATCTGGAGCGAAGAGGCTTTTAAGGCGACCACAACATCTCATTGTCTCTGGCAGACTAGCGAATGATTCTTCTTTCTCCTAATACCAGGTCGAGAGGGGGGAGGGGGGGGGGAGCGTTTTCCTTCCACGATGGAAAGTGGATTCTTCCGCTGGTGTTTTCCTTTACCATGTTACACGATTACGCGATCCAGGCGAAGGGAAAATTATTTTCACCTTAAGTTCCAGAGGTGTTTGCAGTTTCTATCTTTGCTTCTACTTGGTGGAAATTCTATCGCTTCTGCGAGACGAGGAATGAAAAAAGAGAACGAGAACGAGAGAAAGAGAGAGGGAAAAGCGATGATATAACTCGGTAGTGCGGATTTTCTCGATATACGTTTGTCGCTCTACCGGTTTAATACTTGATCGTGGGTGGCACGATGAATAATACTTTCCTGTCGACAAGTCGGGACATCCGTTCCGATCGTGGCACGACCGTTCGCCATTTATCTCTGACCGCGATGGATGAGTCGCGTGAGAAGTTCGCGAAGCGTTTCTGTATCTATCCGTAATCTCTCGAGTAATGAGGTGGATCCTCCTTTTGTACGAGCCCGTCCTAGGGAATCGTCGTTACTCTCCCGTGAATCCTTCTGCTCACCTGGGAAGGATGAGCCCGCTCATTAATTATAGTCGCTCCTCCGCGGCGATGACTGGAAACAAAGTGTTTTCAGCGCCAGGGTACATCCACCTATATAAGCCCGGTCGTCCTAGGACGGGAACGAATTGAAATTCTCATCGCGATCAACGCGCCTACGCGCCACTTTAGCTATGAGATGGAGCTGACCGACTTGCTACCAATAATAATCGGTGACCTCTCTCGTTAACCCTTCGACGGGTGATGCATGCTCGAGTAAGCGATCCTCGATGGAACGATAAGAGGCCAGAGATGTGAGAAACATCGTACGAGCGTGGCTACTTAAATTTTCGAATGTTTCAGCAATATTTAACTGCCTATAGACAGGGTGGGTCACCACATATTGCCATTTAGATTTACGTCATTACGTTATTATTACGCGTGACGAAAAATGTTTCAGACGAGGCTGAATGGTTTCGAGAGGGGCACATTCTGATGATACTAGTTTTCTTATAGGTGGACGTGTACAGGACATGTGAAGGTCATTATCGTTTTTTTTAAATAAAATCACATATCTTTTATTGCATCGGTTGATGCACCTTGATATTTTTTGCGAAAAAATATTAACCTATTTATGTTAAAAAAATCATTAGTTTGGGAGATATTTTAATTTCAATTTTGTAAAATTATCGTATGAAAGACATGGAAGGAGAAAGATAGTATATTTATACTCTCTTTGTCTTTCACGCATAGATATTACAAAATTAAAATTAAAATATCTCCTAAACTAATGACT